ATAATTTACTGGGTACTAAGTCTTTCTTAATCAATTAAAGGTTTTATGTAGTATTGTAAGTATGGTAATATTAATTATTTTTATTCTACTATAATTGAATAGAAACAGATAGAGTATCTTCTTAACCTTTTATACTTCTTTTTTATATATTCTATTTATCTAAAAACCGGAGGCCTACTGTTTGTAAAGTCTATAATATCTATAACAACCTGTTTGATTATCTAGATTACTTAAATAACTAACTAGTAAAAAAGCGAGCGCCTGACGCCTGTTGTACAATACCCACGGTATGCGGCCACCTGCTCCTACTACAACACTAAATCATTGGGCTTGTAATCTGGATTCTTATGTTAGTATAAAGTTAACTTTGTTTAAAAAATATATATATTAGTACTCTAAATCCTAGGGGGGATTAGGAATTTCTAAAGATTAGTTTCATAATTTAAAAAGGACTGCTTTTATCTACTTTTGCCTTGCCTAACCAACTTATCTACTGCGATAAAGTAGTTCCTGACATTGATACTAAAAAAATAAAAAAAAAAATTATGAACTAAATAAAGGCTTTAAGCCTAAGCTGGGCTTATAACCTATAGATCATAAAATAAAATACTAATAAATTAACTGGCCTAAAAAAAGCTTAGTACCTTAAGTATAAGGGCTAAAGGGTGAAATAGTGTAGTAAACGAATGCCTTCTCGCGATAGCCAAAGGTAGTAGTAGTATTTGCCTTAGGGTGTTGTTGCTGATTTGCCTAACTTGCGGGACTGCCGCTGCCTTGGGTGGTTCCGCGACCACCTCGCTTAGCTGTCACATGACTGATGCCTCAGGCCTTCATTACATACATTCCTTCGCGATATCATCGCGAAGGTTGGAAGGGCATGCGAGGGCTCTTACATTGAGAATTTATAGAATTAGTAAAAAAGAAATCTATATAGATCTATAGTATCTATATAATATACTTACAGTTCTAATTAAAATCATGTGATCTTACTAAACCAAGGCGTTACACGCACAACACCGATAGAAGCAACCCCATGTACACACGGGTGACTTGTTACGGAAGGATCATCATCATTACAATCGTCAGGCACTGCACCAGGCGAAGCCCTAGCCGAACTCCCCCAACAGAACAAGCATCATCAGCACCCGAGCCTTAACTCTGCATCTCATCTCCATCATCGCCCTAGTGAACCGTACCCGCGATACACCCGACGTTACGGGCCGCAGTGGACCGTTGTGGAGAAGGTAGTCTTCATGGAGAGAATGGCAGGGAGTGAGCTGCCAGTGGCGGTTTACCTTGCGCCTTGATTGTGATGGTTGGATAGCGGTGGGAATTTTGTAGCGTTAGTAGAGCAGGTGGTCATTGTGGTGCTGCTCAGGGCTTTCCACAAGATAGCATTGAGACTTAATCGCATTCAATACGGTCAGGAAACTTAAAGAGTTGTGATTGTGATTGTGATTAATGATTCTAGAGTATCTAGATACAGTATCATGAATATCATCCCTGCCCGCGGGGCTACCCACTGGGTCCCGAGGCTCTCATAACCATTGCAGTACATGCTATCTATCGATGCATCAAGTCTGCGCTTGGAATTAGCTGTAAGTGTTGTGAATGCACGGCGGTGTATGAAACACAGAATAAAAAAACATCGGTGTAAATCTCTGATCTGAGTATCTTGTGCTCGTCGACATGTCGTCTTGAGATTCTTGTTTGCGAGATGGATGCAGAATCGATTCACGGTCTTGTGTCACTGTTTCGTGTAGACATATGTCGATGTCAAAGTCGTGGTTTAAGGCGGGTGGTCGCACGATCATCATTGTGCAGTCACGCTGATCGAATGTCTAATTGCGCTTCGATCCCGTCGGATCCTCATATACAATCCGCGGAACCACATTGAAGTCAGGCAATCCCGGGACAACCTCCGGCTCATCGGCCTCCTCCTCGTCCTCCTTAGTATCAGCAGGCACCGAGCTATCGCTGGACTCGGTCAATTCGAGAGCCGGCGAGGGCGTCCCGCTGGCCTCGTCTTCCACGTGAACCACCGTCGGTTCGTCGTCCGATCCACTACCATCCACAGAATTCTCCAGACTTCCAGAACTCGGGCTCGGGGTCGCCGCCTCCACTAATCCGTTCAACGACAGTGACTCATCGTGACTGACGCTGCTCCGCTCCGAAGTCGACAGCGAGCTGCGCGAGTTCGTGTACGACTGGGGCAGCCCCAGCGCGGCCGCCACCGCCGCCTCCTCGTCGGGCAGCTTGGACACACTGCTGTCGCGGCTGGTGCTGCGGTCGAAGATATGGCTCCCGCGCCGCTCGCTCATCTCCAGGATGTTGTTGTACCCGCGGCGGGTGGGGTCGGCCAGACGCTTCTTCTTCTTTTTCTCGCGCTTCGTCGTCGGCCGCACCACGATCACGGGGATCGGCGACTGCTGCAGGCAGTACTTGGAGACCGAGCCCGGCAGCAACCCCTGCACACCCCCCAGATTGCGACCCCGGGTGCCCACGATGAGCACAGCCGGCTCGTAGATTCGGATCATGCGCTGGATGATCTCCTGGACCTTGCCCACCGCCAGCTCCAGCACCAGGCTGATGGCCTTCTCGTTCTGGCTGTTCTTCTGGATCACCTGCTCGAACAGCTTCTCCGCCTCCTTCCGGTATTTCCCTGCTTCCACGGCGGCGTCGCTAGCGATGCTCGAGTCCTTCTCGACCGCACGCAGGCAGACGATTTCATCCCCGTCGTCGACGAGCTCGTCGATGAGCCATTCCAGCGCGAAGTCGGAGTAATCATTCTGGTCGGTCCCGCATAAGAAGGTTCGACTGCGACGGGTAGACTGATAGCCTTTGTGTTTGTAGTTGAGGGTCAAGGAGAAATCGGCCGCATCCGGATTATCGAAGGTGTCAAACGACACACCTCGCTCGTAGGTCCTGATATTACATTAGCCAACAAGGATAATGTAAATACGTAACATGAAGGATGTCTTACTGAGGTGGTGGAGGGGAGGGTCCACGACTGGGCGACGGCTTGATCTCCCGTTCTGTGGAGGTGACGTCGAGCTGCGGGCGCGGTCGGTGACCTGCAGCGCTGACGGATCGACGATGCGGCAGCGGCTCCGTGCCGCCAACGTTGAACTGAATTGACTTTCTCTGGGAACTTTCAGCTCGATGTGAAGATCGAGGCTTGCTTGTACCAGCGGCTTGGCTGGCGCCACCCTTGGGGGATTGCGACGACGGGGAGGGCATGCTGGCGGTTCTAGTGGGAGGGGAAAGCGAAGGGAAGGTGGCAGACGACTCAGGCGCCTTCTGGTGATCGGAATTTCGAGTAAATGACAAAAAAGGTGACAAGGTGATTCAAAGTTAACAACCAGTCGGTCGCTCAGCCACCGTGAAGCTCAGCAAGTTCGGCGAGTGGTACGATGCGGGAGACGCCGACCATGGTTTGGTAAGAGGTCGTGACGAAGGGGAAACTCCCGAGCAAGTGTCTGAGACCGGCACGCTCGAGGATGAGAGAATCAGATGGACCAAAGCGGGTCTCGGAGCTAGCTAGCTTGAAGCTACAGTGAATGGCTTTGCACAATAGCGCCGGATTGAATTAAAGTAGAATGACAGGCAGCAAGCCGGAAGCAGCTGGAGGGGGAAGGAGACGAAAGGCGAGAGTAGAATAGGAGGAGGCCGGGCGGCGGCATGATGTCCAGGGCGGGGCAGATGGAAGGCGGTCAGGAGGAGGAAGAGGAGCATTGCCGGCGGGTCACGTTTCCCTGCCGTCACTGAGTGACCACATGCGGAACAAAACTCCTGCCACGCGGAGGCTTCAACTTCGCATCTAGCAATTCCCCCATTATCGTCCACTGACAGACAGCCATTACAATCCCGTGATCCTCTGGTCTGACCAGAATGGCCATCTTATCTCGCTCTATACGACTAAAAGAGCAAAAGAGCCGGGATGGAGAAGTAGGAGGGGCATAGCTAGCATCATCCGAGCCAGACCAAGTATATATTTCCGAGCTACGTGAGCGCAACCAGCAGACCCTCAGCTTGGCCAGCCGGTCTGGAACACATAGTGCCAGACTGCCAGACTGCCAGCGGAGACCACAGAGCGCCATTGCGGCCTGAATCCAGACTCAGTATGTTTTGGCAGGGTTTTTTTTTTACAAAAGAACTACTCGAATGAGGGTCTAGACGGGGTAGAAGAGGCTCCAGTTCAACCACCTCTAATAGTGCCAATGGCAGCAAACCCGGATCTAAAGACGGTGAGGGATTGCTCGGTTTTGACTTGATCCATCGATCCTTTTCTCTAGCAAAAGCAAGGAAGGAGATCGATCAGATTTCGGATTCCAGGAACCAAGAGCAGGCGGGTTGGCAGGGACTGGACGGAAGACGGAATCGAGTTCATTTCAGTCAGGGAAAAAGAACAAGAGCGATCGGCGGTGATCCTCCGTGCGGATCGATCGCCCTTCAGCCATGTGATCCGTCACGGGGCGGTGAACTCGGCCTGGATTGGCGAGGGCCGCGATCGGCACTGCCATCCCGGTCTAGCCAGCTGCCCAACTAGCCTCCCGGATGGGGCTAAGAAGCGGAGTCAAGTCTTCTTCTGCTCCTGCGACTAGCAGTTTAGTATGTCCTAAGGAACTTACTGATCACTTCGTTATCGCTTTGCCAATGCTTGACACATCAAAGAAATCAATACAGGTAAAGGATCAATCGAAAATTTGAAGGAATTCATGTATAATGTGGATATGATTATGTTCTATATATGCAAATTCATCATCTCGTCTCATATGCCTGAGAGGCCACCGTTATAGTAGATCATGTCGTGGAATACATAAACAATCAGAAAAATGGGGCCGACAATACATGCGGCCCAACGGTGGGACCAGGAAGAAGACAGAGATGGGACCCGAATATGTGGGCGGGTATGAGAAGAGAGAAATCAATCCCCAAACCCTCGGGCAAAAAAAAAAAAAAAAAAAAAAAAAAAAAAAAAAGGGGGACTCCACCCCCAATGCCAATATGCCATCCCAAAACAATGCTGAATCATGATGATAGGAGAGAAGTGATTTTTGGTTTCAAAAAACGCCGGACCCGCTATGGTGGTGACAACTTGCCCCAAGGTAATAAAAAAAAGTTCTTCCAGAAACAATCCACGACGAGGGTATCACGTATGATAATGGTACAGAGAATGGAGGATCAGCCGCTGCTGCAAGGTACGATCAATAAGCTTCAAGCATCGCACTTGGCGCCGGGCCGGGAACGTAGTAGCCATTCTCCAGATCAGTCGGGGAGAGAGGGATTTCCGCGGTTTGCTGCTCCTTCTCGTTGAATGTTTCCAGGGTTGGTTGAGGAGGTGAGGGGGGCATAGTGTCGTCTTCCGACTCTCCATCGGAGTCGGACAGCAGCTCGGGCGGGGTTTGCCGGGAAGGTGAGCGGGTCAGGGTCAATTCTTCCAGATCCTCCTCATCGTCGTACTCAAAGTCGGAATCAGAATCGGAGTCGTAATCCTCCTCGATTTCCTTCTCGGTGATGATGGCCACCGGGGAGGGAGCCCGTCGTCGCACCGGACTGTAAGTAGTGGGCTCATACTGATCTTCGTCGTAGTCGGAGTCATCCTCGCTGACGTCGGAGTCGGCGTCAGAAAGGTCCTCGGGATCCCAGTCCTCCTCCGGGTCCTCAACGACTGTCTCCGCCCATTGGATGTGTCGAGGCTCGGAGTGGTGGGATGTCTTGGTCACACCGCTGACGGTCTGGTTGAACCAATGTTCTTGTTCACGTTCGGCATCAGCCAGCTCCAGCATGAGCGAGTCGAGGAGGTTGGCGTGGCCAACCAGAAGGCGGAGATCATGGTCCGCCCGGGAAGCTTCACGGGTGAGCTTCTTGCGGGCGGTGTGGGCGAGATAGTAGGTTTGAGTGATGCTCATTTTCTTTTGTTGGCGACGGCGGGCCAGAGAGGTGAAGTAGGAGCTGAGAGAAGGAGTGGAGGAGGGAAGAGAAGAGGAAGAGGGAGGGTGGGAGGAGGGAGTAGAAGTAGAAATTGTGGGGGAAGCAGGAGTTGCCATGGTGCAAATCTCCGGGAGGGCCGTGTTGATGTGCTTGCTAAGGATCGCCGAACTTAGAGGCTTAGAGGTGACTCGTTCGCTTTGCGCGGCGCGGTGACTCAGGCTGCCTTTCCTCCTTCCGGCGGTCGACCTATCGACCAATCAACCTTATGGCGGATGGCGGGGCGGTGAGTCAAGGGTCGCTGGTATCGCTGCAGGCGGATCAATAATGGATCGCAGCAGCAGCGCCTTATCTTTCAGTCTAGTGCGTTTGCGACTGATGCAGTGTGCAGACGCAGACAGCTGAGAAAAAGACTGATATCTGGTTGTTGTCGAGCTGGTAGGGGTTCCTGGCGTCCCAATGTCTCCACTGACAATCATGCACTTTCAATAGTCAAACAGTAGTTGGTGGATGGATGTGTTAGTGGTGCGGGATGTAAGTGTATGTGTATGTCGTGATGAGAGTGATTTAGTGGCTGGTTGCGGTCTGAGGTGGACAAGCGAGGATTATTAGCTATGTGTTGTGATTGAGGAAAGAAGAGAAGAAAAAGAACATTTCGAGATGTACCAGGGAGATAGGGATTGTTTATGATATATCCACTTTCTAGGCTGATTCTTTTTTTTTTCTTTTCGGTGCTTGTCATCCGCTATTTCCAATCCCCGTTTCTTACTTCCTTTTTTTTCCCTTTTTTTTTTTACTCATTACTCTGCTCGTACTCCATCTAAAGTCCGAAAGGCGCGATCGGACGTTCGGCGACAGAGCATCCGTGGATCGGAAACTCCGTCAAGGAAAGCCGGATCCACCATCGAAATTCTGCCCTGCACCCAAAATCCCTGCCCAAGAGGGCAATTGCTATGCTCACCGCCCATGACTGAGACCAATAGTTGCTGTAAACCAGTGAGTCACGTCTGGGCGCCGCCTGCTTATTCCCGTTCTGGGCCATCCCAGCAGCATTGAAAAAAAAAAAACCCTGATCGGGTTTCCGATGACCAATCTTTCCGCGCCGTTGTCTCCGGCTGAGCAAAAGAGAAAGAAAAAAAAAAAAAAAAAAGGCTCCTAGGCTAGAAAATTCCAGCAGGTGCCCAGCACACCTGCCCTAGCAAGATTACGATTACTCAACGATTGTCTGCATTAGAAATCCTGACTGCAATCACCATCATTATTCATCATCTTCACTCTTTTGGCGTTTTCACGCGCCAAGTGTCAAATCCTAATATTTCCACGGTTGATGATCAGTCCAGGGCACCTAGCTGGGCTTGAATCCTTTTATTAATGCTCTTATACTTGTACAAATCTTCGTAGATATTGAGACTCTACAAGATTTGAGGTACCACCCACATTTACTGCCCCCCTCACTGCTAATTGACTCTTTGACCCTTTGATTGATAATTGGATTGATTCCTAAGCTCCTACCTAACACATAAGTTTTCAGTCCCCTAACATCCAAGTAACCAGCCTCACGATAGTTGTTGACCCTAGTTGGGTTTTTGCGGACGGGATCCGTGACCCGTCACAAATCAGTTCCCCACCCGACTCAAAATTTTCTTTCCTGCCGGGCGCAGAAAAGGAATCTGAGGTACGGAGTAGCCTATCCGAAATGCCTCCTTCGATCCCCAATCCCGTTTGTCAGCCTCCCAGGGTCCTCACGATGAGTAATCTCTCTTTAACAGAAGCCGAACTGCTATCCAACTCCGTCCATGCCTCTTTCCAGTAACACCCCTGTACAGCACCATTTGGGACATGGTTGCGAGAAGGAGTTATGACTGAAAACGGACAGGTAAGCAAGTCCAGCAAGTCTCGCTCGGTCGGGTTTGGGGAGTAGTGAGTTGCTGCTGCTGCCCCTGCGGAGTTCCAACAACAGAGCAGCAGCACAGCACAGCACAGTTCAGCACAGCACAACAATCAATGCAATTCATATGCGAATACGACGGGTCCTCTCCCCATCAGGATCCATCGCTTGCCGTAATTCCGCTCCCCATTCTTTCTGCCTGCCTTATTTTGGCCCCTGCCCTAATCACATACTGTACTCACTCGTATACCCACTATCGATCAACTCGTGTTTGCACATAATTTAGCAACTATGTGGAGATAAGGGAACCGATTTTTTTTTTTCTTTCTTGCCTATGGCTTATTATCCATACGCATCTACAATCCATCCACGTAGGTCATTTCTCACTTCCTTATCATTCGTCACAAAGGAGATGTAGAAAGGGCACCCAATGAATTCCTCACCAGCTGCCACATTTCGAAAACCGTCAGTCACGCCTTAATGTCGAGGGCAAAAAAAAGGTCTAGGGTCCATCCATCATCCCTTTCTTGGCGTTATGCGGCTCTCTCTCTCCCCATTCCTGTCGAATATTGTCTGTCTGCTTCTCCGCAAGCGCCAGCCCATGCTATGCTTGGCAGGTCAGATCGCCCGCGAGCGAGGACACGCACGCCATCGCGCATTTTTGAGGCGAGACAATTGGCTTTGCGAATGCGGAGGTAGACTTCCGGCCTAGAAAGCATAGTGTCGACTAGTGTATACCTTGGGTAAAGACTATAGAGCTGAGCTGGGCTGGGGCTGGGGCTGGGTCTGAGCAAATACACCCCGTGGAGTCTCCGTAGGATGCGTACGTACGACGTACTCCGGGTAGGGATTGATCGTCCCTTGGGGGCCACTATCACTGAATATCCCCCTCGACAAACGTGTCGGCCGCTTGGCAACGACTCAAAGACCAAACCCATGGAAGCAGGCAGCGAAAATCCCCCTGATCTCTTGCTTACATGGCTGTGCAGGGTGAGAGTTACCAGAATAACTTGTGGCCCGCGCTAAGTGGCTGTCTCGCGTGTAATCTAATGGGGAGCGTGGGCTGTAGTAAGTTAGTGGCTATGAGCTGACAACGGAAATCGCCGGATACGCGACCCGAGCGGGAACTGCTGAGGCTCTCTCGTGAGGATGGTGAAGGTGATGATGACTCGAAAGACCATGTGTTGCTGTGATAATTGAATCGGTTCAATACTTGATAACCTGATGATCTATCGTCTACCTGAAACCTCCCCCTAGCTGCCTGCCTGGCACAGCACAGCCCCTCGAAAGGGAAGCGGAGCAAGTGCGGAGAAAGATAGGCGGACGGAGTTCCGGGACTAAGCCTAACCTAGGAATTATGCTCATCAGTCATGTGACACTGGTGCCCGCCCACCATGTCGGCGTGACACTCGGAGATAACAGACCTCCATCATCACCAAAAGGCTATCTGTCTGGCGAGAGCAGCCTCGATCAGGGCATCTGGAAAAACAATGATGCCCATGATGCCAATGATGGGGTCAATGACGAGGGGAAACTGTAAACAGTCTCCGCCGCGCCGCCCTTCTTCTTCGTCATCAACATTCGCCATCGCTATCGCCATCACACTGCTGGAGTCCACACATTCCAACGATCATTGATCATCCATGATCATCGCAGCCCACTGTGGCAGACTGGATTCTTCAGACCATACGCAGAGCAAAGAGTCTGGAGCGGGCAGCAACTCGATTCATAGTGGGGAAATGCCATGGCGGGGGGAGGGGGGGGGGGGTTGCATAATCCTCTTCCAAAACGCAAGAAAACGAACAACAACCTAATCTTCTAGCTATCAAGCACCCAAAATGACAAATCGTTCTAGACCAGAACGTACCCAAAACTAGGTACTCATACAGCACCGGCACCCAGAAGCTGACAAAAACGACGATCGGATCCCCAGAACCTTGACTTTCTGATTTGATACCACACATCACCGACCATCGGGGATCCTGAGTAGCTGGGTTCAAGCTGCAAACGTCAATCCATCATCACAGTCCATCCCTTGGATCCCTCCCCGGGTTTACTGTCTGACATCTTACATTTCTACAGGCAGGCTTATCACCACGCGAAGTGAAGGCCAAATAAACATCCCAATAACAACACTCCACATCAGCAGGAGCAGCAGGAGCAGATTCGCCTCTTTGTAGATGCAATGCAATCCGTCGACGGTTTCGCGATCGTCACTGATAAGGATAGGCTGTAGACGAACAACACCAGTAACATCATCATACCGCACCCTCCTACCTCATGCACCACGACCATCCTGAAGATCCCGCTCGAATGGTACACAGTAATTACTTTGGGGTTGTACACAAATAACCATATGAGACGGAGACGGTTGCTGCTGTGTCAGCTGCAAGTCAGCCAGTAATACCAGTCCTTGACGTCACGACCTGACCCTTGGCCTCCCTCCCCGGGCTGCTTGACCTCATCTTCGGGATACGGGCGATGACCATACAGGGGGTGGGCGATCATGATCCGAGATCCGGAGCTACAGTGAGTGATAGACAGAGTACTTTAGGAAGTCGGTGACTTCATCGCTATTAGCATAGGGTGGATAACGTTAGATAGATGTACAGTACATGTAGATAGGAGATAGAACGATAATGATCCCCTTTATCGACGACGATCAACACCACCAACAGATCCAACACCTAAATCACATCACCGAATGACTCCTCTCCGTACAGTAACGCCCACACAAACCAACTAAACAGCCAGCATGACCTCAAAACATCCGGGGAGATCCGCCTCCCTATTCCGCCTCCCCGCCCCCCCCGCATAGCCTACACCAAAAAAAGCATAAAACATAAGCGCAGCACAGCACAGCACAACTAATGCACACAACAAACCCAAGACTACCGCCAATGTCCAACCCGCGGAACAAACTCGGCTTCTCGCCCTTCCACAACCCCCGATCTTTCCGCCCTCCCAGAAGTGGTCCTAGCTCGGCCTTAGGAGATACGGTACGGTCCCCAATCCCATCAAGTCCTTTGAGTTTCTGGCACTGCGTGGCCCACGGATCCGCGCGAATCCGTGACCCCCGTCCGTCTCCTACTTGGGCTAATAGGCTAACCTACCCGTTGTACCCGTGCGTGCCGGATTCCGGAACATCAGCCCTTCCAATTCTTCACTCAGGGTCTGCATCTATTCTGCATCCTGCCCAATTCCCATGTGAGGTTATCACACGGATACACGGATCTGATTTTCTTTCTGAGAGGGTTTTTTTTTGTGGCGCTAGCATGTTAGCTTGTTAGCATGTGGAGGTTTCTTATACCAACCACACTTAGCATAGAGGACCAACTTGCTGCACAGCACCGTACCCTGAGGAGGGCGTTTTTGAGGGGATTCATTCTGCCGGTTTTATTCTTGTCAGACTTCATTATGTCTCCGAGTTACTGGACTAACTTACCGGTCGTGCGTCACTGCAGGGTATTATTCAAGACGAGGTACCTAGCGGATGCTTCTTCTTTCGCGTGTGATCCTCTTTGAGGATATTTGGATTACATGCACACGTAAACCACAGGTATACCCCGATCGGAGTCACAAGCTTAGATAGGGGGTGGTGTTTCAGGCCGATTCATCTTCGGTTGGAGTTGGGTGAGGATCTCTGGACCTTGACTCTGTTTCTGAGTTGTACTTCAAACAGACTATACTATCCCGTGCTATGCGCTATAACTGCAGCGTACTCTGCTGGCTAGCGGGCTATCGAACGTTTGTCTATATATGCTGCTAGCATGCTGGCTATCATTTCTAGAAGGGTGCCGGTGCTGGGCAGTACTTTTGTTTGATCGCTTCTGGTTATAGTCCCAGAGGAATGTGTTGCAGGTTATGCATGTCTTGTGCGATGGATGTATAGAGGGGGGGCCGTTAGGGATGACTCCAAACTGGAGGACGGAAGCTTACTCGGTGCCCTGTATGTACACGCTTTTGCAGACTGACAAGCAGCTGTCGATCCTGGGTCCATGCTTGGTCCACGCTGATTGGACGGTTGCTTTTGTTCTACAGCATGCGTTGCAAGAGGGTCGTGCTCGATGCATGTGATTGTACTGTACTGTACTTCTCCACTGCTGTCGCATGTCTACGGAGTACGGAGTACGGGGTACTTTTATTGTTTTATGCCCCTCCTGTTACTCGCAATTCCAATGTACAGTACATACAGCACAGCACAGCACAGCACAGCACAGCACAGCACAGCACAGCACAGCACAGCACAGTAATGTACCTCCCTCCCCCGACTCCGCGTAAAACACAAGAGTCCATGTTCATGTTCAGTTCAGCTCGATTCATATTCACACTGCGAAGCAACCCCCCCCCCCCCCCCCCCCCCCCCCCCCTATCTAATTCCTGAAACACCTGGCTGGCAGTTAATCCCCGCCACCAAACAAACTCCCCCAATCCGACCCCTTCTTCCGCATCCACCGCATCCACCACCCCAACGGCTCCGACAACCCCTCCTCTTCTGTGTCCCCAACCTCACACGGCAACAAAATCGCATGGTCCAACGCATGCGGCAGCCCACGATGCCGGCCACGCACCTGCATCGCGATGACGATCGCCTTCGCAGGGCCCGAGAACTCCCCGCACAAACTCGTCTCGGTGCCCGGGTAGCCCAGCGACAGACCCACCGTGCCGTACGCGGACACGATCTCGAACAGGATCGGGAACAGCGCGAACGCGCGGTCGTCACCCCCAGCCTGCAGCCGCGGGCCCTCGGCGACGGCGATCAGGAAGAAGCCCAGCATCACGTACCAGAGGTCGAAGCCCAGCTGGCGCTGGATGTGGGCGGCCAGCGAGTCGGTGGAGGGGTGGGTGGGCGGGGCGTCGGAGGACGAGGATAGAGAGTCGTCATTATAAAAAATGCCGAGGCTGCGTTCTTCGTAGACGTTGGTCTTGCGGATCGCAATTGCGTTGGGGAAGGCCGAGATATACATCATCACCAGGAAAGAAACTTGGGTGGCCGGGTGCAGGGTGGTTAGCGGAGTGATGCTGAAGCCCGCGGTGCGGGTGGAGGCGATTTGGAAGAGGCCGTTGACGAGGCGTAGGCCCGGGGTGATGGTGGGGTTTTGTGGGGTCTGCGTGGGTTTTCGCGGTGGTTGGTTAGTTGAGGCTATCGAGTAGAGGGGCAAGTGGTTGGTGGTGCAGGACGTACCTCTTGGAGGGTGTAGAAGATGAGCAGGTCGATCGCGTTGAGCAGCAGGAGCACGGCTGACAGGCGCCACGTCTCCGCGCTGGGGAACAGCAGCGTGAAGCACCGCCGCGGGTGCTCCAGCAGGTACTCCAGCTCGTCGTCCAGCGGGGACCCGGACGTGGTGAACTGCGAGAGCGTCCAGATGATGAAGCGGAGCATGCACGGGAAGCCCGTGTTGCCGATGACCACAAGGAAGGTCATCACGAGCAGGGGGAACGCCGCGGTCTGGAACGCGTCCATCGAGTCCGGCGTGAGAGTGAACCCCAGGTCGTTGAAGGCCGACCCGGCCGTGAAGATCGCCCACCACGGCCGACTGATGCCCGCGTCGGCCAGCACCTGGCTGTACTGGCGGTTCGGCAGCACCCACCCCAGGAACAGCACGATCCCCAGCACATGGAACACCACGAAGTAGCCGACGAGGATGACGAACAGTGTCTTCAGCGCCCGGTACTCGATCCCGCCCAGCTCCTCCTTCTGCGCCTCGTCCCAGTCCGCGTAGCTGGCGATCGACGACTGCCACATCAGCGCCGGCAGGGCGTCGAGATCATGGCACGACCGCTGGAGCACGGGCGAGTCATACTCCGACAGCGAGCGCCGCGAGCGCGTCCCGGACATCGACCGGCGGTGGTGGTGTTTGATCTCATATTCGGCCTCCGAGTCGCAAAAGGTGATATGCGGACTGGTTGATCCCGCTGCTGCCGCCGCCGCAGCGCCATACGTCCGACCTGGAGGACCAATTAAGTCGGAGGTTCGATCCTCGCCATCGACAACCTCTAACAGAGGTTGCTCCTCAGCGGGTCTCTCGACCGAGATCCCTCGAGGAGGAAGTGGTGGTGGGGGAGGGGGAAGTCGGTTCTCGATCCCTCCTCCCTGCAGAGCTTGATTCCATTTGTTACGCTGCGTGCGGCATAATACTTTGGCCTCATGGATGACGCCGCGGAACCGCTTGCGGAACCAATAGAGCCGGATCACGACGAGCAGCGAGTTGATGAAGATAACATTGGTCACCATCGACACCCCCCAGAGGGTGACCTGCTGGACCACATGCAGTCGGTTGAGGTCGATAGAGTTCAGCCCCGTCTGGGTGGCTGCACCGGAGGCGAGAAGCAAGGCATCGAGGTACGACAGCCCTCCAGCCAGGTAGAGAACCAGCGACGACACCAGCGCCCAGAAAATGATATAGATATAGTGGTGATAGCGTCGCAGGGGTGACTTGGACGGCTCGTGAGCGAGAGGCATGCGGTTTGGGAATGCGCTATAAGCCGATGAAGACTACCCGGAATGTGTCGACCAAGGGAAAGGCAAACGATATGGCGGAGCCCAAAAGAGGTGACAAAGTTGTTTGTCCTTTCCCAAAAAGCACGGGGAATTAAATAGCTCGACGGAAAAAAAGCTCTTGTCTCCTTGCGTAGATCTGGGGGGAGGGAGTGGCTAGCAAAAGCCAACAAATGCCTCACACAAATGCATGCTGGATTTGGGATGATCGGATCGCCTGTGACGATTTCCTACTATAACAGCGAAAGAATATGGCATCAAGGAGCTAGGTAGCTATACCTGCGCCAATCAAGCTTGGGCCAGTCCCACACTTTATAGCTGCCTGGTTCTGACATCTCCTGTCGAATTCCTGGGGTAGGGGTTTATCTTCGAAGGAAGGGGGGGGGGGGGGGAAATGGAGCTTGCAGATTTTGCCATCCCGGTAAGAGGTTGCACAGCAGGAAGCTGGGAACATCCAAATCGGTGATCCCCTCTTGCAAAAAATTGGTTGGAAATAATCGCTCATAGTGATCTGAAGCTTGGCACGCAACCACTGACGCACGGTCCATAGTTTGGCTAACCTTAAAACCTTCTTTTCATTTCTTCTTCAGCGTGAAGAAACCGGATCGGCGTCTCACAATTGGCCGGGAATCATTCCTCGAGTTGTAGAACAAAACTTGCTTGGGTGCCAGGGCTGGAGTGACGGTTGCAGGAACCAGGGGCCGAATCGGTGAGAAAGTCGGTGGCATATGCGTGGCTGCGCCATTTTCAGACCTGTCGGGTGTTGGTGTGACCAAGGAATTGTTGTGTGGCTTGCAGTCGGACATCAGGCTGTCAGATGATAAACCGAGGTTGTAGTCGGGGGAGAAGCTCCTTCAGTCTTTAGAAAGAAAGGGGTGCTGTTGCCTGAGGCAGAGATTTATCATCGACAATAGTTAAGTTGATTTCCATCAATTGCAGTGGTTACAAAGTCCTGTACGACTCGACCAAGATCAAAGCTGCCGAGCAACAAAGAGGATTGCGAACACAAACATCATCCAAGACAAGATATGTATTGCTGACCTGAACGAAGGTAAACCCCTTCCCCAATTCAGCCGGCCGTTTAAAGATTATAGATACGAAGAAGATTAAACCACTCTTTCCGTGCAGCCCGTCTCTGAACCCACGATCCTTCCACTGTCGTCGCATCAAATCTAGCAAGACACACCGGAGGGCAAGTTCTCGCACTTGCTGCTGGTCTTTCCACCGGTGACATCAACACCGCTCCAGGTGAAGTCCGTGCAGCTGCCGTCACCGCAGAGGATGTAGATCTCGGTGGCATCGCTCTCAACGCTACCAGTGACCTTCTCCATCTTGACGCCGGAGATCTTGACGCCGTCGGTGGGGGTACCAGTGGGGCTGCCGTTCTCGTAGTCCTGCTCGATGACGATACCGTAGTCGGTGATGTCGGAGATCTTGATGTTGGAGAAGGTGATGTCCTCGACCTCGCCGGTGGCGTCGTAGACGGTCTTGATGCGCACACCGTTCTCGGAGTCGGTGACGGTCGAGTCGATGAAGGTGACGTTCTTGACGGTGTTGTCGTCGCGGCCGCCGACGGAGCCGATGGAGAGACCGTGGCCGCCGGAGCAGGCACCGCCGGAGAAGTAGATGTTCTGCGGCGAGAGAAGGATTAAGATTAGCGATCAATTTGGATCGTTCGGAGTGTGTGGCGGCTGGAGATTCTCTTTCCAACGCCATCTGTGGGAAACACATACCTCGCCGGAGTTGATGGCGACACAGTCGTCCTGGTTCTTGACGGTGGCACCGGTGATGGTGATGTAGGTACTCTCGCTGATGTCGAAACCGTCGGTGTTGTGACCGCCGTTGTCGTCACCGTCGCTGTTGTCGATGGTCACGTCCTCGATGGTGAGGTAGTCGGACTCGACGGAGATGGCCTGGACGGGGGTGTTCTTGATCTGCAGACCCTTGATGACCGAGTTGTCCAGGGAGTGGGCGTAGAAGAACTTGGGCTTGGTCTTGCCGCCGTTGGTGCCCTCACCGTCCCACCACTTGGCACCGTTGCCGTCGAGGACCGCGCCGGAAGACTGGGTGACGGTGATGTCCTTGCCGGAGATGTACAGGAGGGGTCCATCCCACTCCTCGTACTCCCAGGTGGTGGTTCCCTCGAAGGTGACCTGGATTGGCCATGGCCGTGTCAGTATGCGGTTCAACGGGCAGTACACTGGAAGGTGTGCCATCGAGAGGTACTGGGGTCGGGGCCGGAACTTACGGTGGTACCGCTCTTCAGGTCCTTGAGGTTGAGGGTCTCACCAGCAGGAACGGTGATGTCCTTGAGAACGATATCCGTGCAGGAAGTCTTGCTCTCGGAGGCCTGAGCAGCCGAGGTGAAGGTGCAGGTGGAGCGCTTGGCGAAGTCCGAGGCACGGGTGGCAGGGGCAGCAGCCACCAGGGCAGTAGCCAGGGTGGCAGCGCACAGCAGGGAAGACTGGATGGAAGGCATGGTGAGAGGATTGTTATCTGATCAACAGAGTAAGTGCAAAGAGAGACTGTTCTGATCTACAGAACGGAGAAGACAACGAGAGAGAGAGAGAGAGAGAGAGAGACAAAGAGAGGAATGAAGGAATGATTGGCTTGGCTGAAGAAAAGAACCCAGACAACAGGGTGACCAGACCCTTTTATATGTTGCAAAAACATCTTGGTCGACTCTGAAGGTATCCATTTCGTCCCGGACGGTTCCCTCAGTGCAACCAGGCGAGGCTTGAATGGGCAGGCAACGCTATCAATCTGTAACTGGACTATCCCCGACTCAGGGCGCTAAGGCGAGTGGACCAACGCGGCATTTTCTTAATTGAACTTGGCTTTTGACTCGTGGGGGCATCGGCCCTCCCTACATGCGTCAGCTTCATCAAAGGCAGCCCCTCGTTTCGACTGCTTCTGACTTGATGTGGAACTGTGTTGGCTATACATGTTTTGACAAAAGAAAAGAAAAGAAAAGAACAGGACGGGAAAGGAAAACCACTGGCCTTCGCAATTTCATGCCGGGAGATGGACGGCTGTGATGATCCGGGAGCAACAAGCGAGCGAAGCAACGGAAACCGACCAGAGTTCTTCCCGTTCGACCCACCACAGTCGAAAACAATCAGGGGAAGGAAGGTTCTTTTCTTCATCGAAGCTTTGGGCGAAGCAATCACGAAACGTCCCAGTGGAGACTAGACCGGAATAACACACCTCCTACACAATCCGTTCGTGGCTTCAGATAGCAATGCTATATTGATGCCGGCAATCCAAACCCCCGAGAAAGAATGGCTCCGCTGATCCATGCCGATTACGAGTGCCAATTCTCCACCGGTAGATATGATCAGGAGCAAGCAAATAGCGCCAGCAATATCTATCCCACTTCGCTCGGCAAACGTCAACAGGGAGCAATTTCCTCACGCCTTGGAAGGCACACCAATAAGAGCTGTCATAAGGAGCACCATCCTGGCCCCTCGGAATTCATTTGCCTTCAGCCGCTGGAGAACTCCTGGCTGATTTCCCATCACCCCCGGTCCAATGACAGGCCATCTATATCCCTTCCATGATAGAAGTACAGCCGGGAATTAGACCCTGGAAATAATGCAGGGGAACAACGGGGGCTCTCGACCCATCCCGGCTTGTCGAACAGACAAAATCCCCAAGAGTCGGCGCTCGTCACGAGGTTCGCAATCAATATCGAATCGACAGGGTCGGCTGGACGCGTAGGAGAATATAATACTGCTTTTTATGCATACCAACCAGTCCACTGCAAGAGGAATCAGGATATCAACATCGTGCCCAGAGGACGCTACCTCCCATCCCTGAGCCCACGCAAAGCTTGGAGATTGCTTGATTGTGCGCCGCCCCAATCAGGTCGGCTGGCTGGTCTCTCCACCGCTGAGCTTGTCCCAGAGATAATCCTCTCTCCACCGAAGAGAGGAGCGGTGTACACAGTACGTCCCTAGGAATGATACAACCTCAGTTATACCTACTCAGCACAGAGAGTAACGTGATGCAAGGATTTATCCAAGCACGCCAGATGTGTCGACCACTTTCGGCATAACGTTGGTTTTTTTCTGATAGCCACCGACGCATGCAAGGTATCCTGAGAACAGGAATATAGGTCAAACACGCCACAAGCTCCTCTAGGCTTGAAGAATGCAAACTGGGTAGGGTATACGTACCACTTTCCCCACACCCCGCCCAAAACCAGCACTAGTATCTCCGAACATCGGGCCTGCGCACCAGTCAGCACTCGGCATTCGGGGGTCTTACCCCCGACGCATTACTATTTCGGGCTGGTCGAGTTTCATGGTCCTTATAGTGCGAGAAGAGAAATTCTAGATTTATCTACATAGGAGATCCCGAGAAATGCTGAGGTATAGTTAGCTAGGTACCTTGGGCATTTTTTCCTTTACCTTAGCCCTCAATCACTAAGTCAACTGCCTTTGCTACCTCCCTCCCCCCGAAGTGACGTCTTTCCCTTCTCTTCTTTCTTAATCGAAGAAAACGGTGATATGCTTCCGTTCTAGCAGACCAGCCCGACATTCAAAACATTTCACCGCTAGTGCAGCAACACCCAGAAAGTCACTTTATTATTCCAAGGTTCAACCAGTATACAATCATCACGCATCCAAACCCTCCTTCAGTTGCAAGCAGCACAAATATTCTCATTGCATCAGCCTACCCTCGACCTCCCAGCCAGCTAAAATCAAGCAAATCCAAACCACTCCATATCCCTGCCCCCATGAATCGGCACCGTATGCCCGACCCCCGTGGCAAACACCCCCTGCACGCCCGGCCCCCACACCGTGGTCACATAATTCGCCTCGGGGGTATTCGCCTCCGTCGCCTGGGGCGCATCGTAGTTATACCCCCAGACGCCCGCCCACTGCTTGACGGTCTCGTAGTAGTTCTGCGGGTAGAGGGTGGTGTCGACGCTGCCGTGGTAGATCTGCATGCGGGGGCGGCCACCCGTATACCCGGGGTCCATAGCCTCGGCGATGCGGGCCCAGTGCGCCGGGGTGGTGATCGACTGGCCCAACGCGCAGGTGCTGTTCCACGCGTCGGCTTGGTTGGTGGCGCTGTAGAAGCACCCCGCGGGCACGCCGTTGTAGACCGTCGCGGCCGCGAAGAGGTTCGGGTAGGTGGCTGCCATTACGTTCTGGCCCATTCATCGTCAGTATCAGGTGTGGGTCTCCGGTGGATTGTTTGAGCGGTTCTGGGGGAGGGGGGAATAATGGAGGGGCATACCGTCATCATGGCGCCCGAACTCGAGCCCGTCACGAACACCTTGCTGGTATCCGCGTTATACTTGGCGATCGTCCAGGTGACCATGTTGGCGATGGAGTTGCTGTT